AGAGTTTAGATGAGCTAGAACCCTAACCCTAATCCTAAACCTAACCCTAACCATAACCCTAAACCTAACCCTAACGCCAAAAAGGGGCTTCAATGACCGACGGCTACCGTACCCGTAGCCACTGCGTTTGTTTTATTGTAGTTTGTAGCATATTTGCCTGTATGATCTGCGATTATCCATGCAATAAACTTTATTTGAATTTGAATTTTTACAAGCATTTTTGTTTTAAAATTTGGGGTGAGTACAGATTCCGTTTGGGCAAGTTAACTTATTGACTCACTCGCCCAGTTGGCAGTTTGGCGAGAGGTTTTTATTTTAAAGCTCTATTACAGTGTAACACACGTTACACAGATCGTAGGTGAATAATTAAAAGCCATTTTATCACCATGTAAAATCTTATTCTTACGCTTGCACGCCGCATTAGCCATTACTTTTAGAGAACAATTTGAAATTTAGGAGGACCATCTAAATTTCAAACTAGATGATACTGTGGACCATCTCTTTTTTCTCCTTATTTCTACCCCTGGCCCTGGTTTCCTAAATATTTTCTGTCGTTGCGATTGTGGCGGTGCCCATGATCGTCTGTCGCTATGGCAGTCAAAGACTGAAAGAGTCAGTGTCCGCGCCAGTGGAGAGAACTTTAATTTTCTTACCGCTTTCAGCCGCGTCGCCCTTCTTTGCTGTTGCTGCATTTCCCATTGTCTCATGCAATAGAAGACTAGTTCACGGATGGATAATTTCGAACACAAATTTAGTATGTTATCGATCAATTTCCGTCAACAACATGAAGAGTTTTAGCCTCCACCTTCATTGCCGAAGCACCTCTTAAGACGCGTCGAAACCATACGCCAATAAAAAAATAAAAGCATTGTTATTTTGGTACAATCATTTGATAGTAATTCTATATTTAAGGTAATATTACTAAAATGCATATATTTGATAAGTATTAGGCACAATTATGTGTTTTATTTAATACAATGTCACACGATATAGTACGAAATGAAAGATCGCCACTTGTTTAAGATTTGCAGAAGATTAATACGCGCATACACGATTCGAGGTGCAGTCTGCAGAGGCGATACGAAATGATTGTGAGCTCAAACAAACATTGAAACAATAATTAAAATAGCAGAACTGGTCAATTTTTCAGGCTAGAATGTAGCGCTTCACTCATGTATTAATATATTACGTAGGGTAAGATGAAAAATTCAATGTTGTATAACCGTACGGCGTACGTTGTTCATGTTTAGCTGTTGATGTTGTAATTCAATAATTGTAAGTTTTACTGTAGCCTGTAGGCTGTACGTGGCCGTTGTAGGCCCTACTAGCAGGCCCGTAGCCAGCTTTCTATGGGGGGGGGGCTTCTTCTTTTCAATGTGCAATTTCTCGCGGGCGTGTACAGGATTGTACCAGGGGCTAACCGACCCCACGTTGCGAGCACGCGAAGGGGGTCTGGGGGTCCCTCCCCAGAAAATGTTATAAAATTACACCCCTCAGTATCGTGTCTGCGCGATGCAAGGGGGCCGGACCCCGGTACCGCCCCCTGCCCCCCCTTGTACACGCTCTGTCGGGGCGCTGAAGCGACCAGGCAGGGAGCCCAACGACCGATGCGGGTAGGTGTGGGAGGGTGTTCACTGTCCTCCCTCTCCGCACGATGGCATTTGCAATTATTACATTCTCAAATTGAGCGACCTAGTAAATTCTTGCACTTTTCAGGGGGGGGTCTGGGGGGGGGGGGTGTGGGAGCGGGGGGGCGGGGGGGGGGGGGGGGGGGGAGGGGGGGGGGGGGGGGGGGGGGGGGGTGGGGGGGGGGGGGGGGGAAAAACTTAAAATTTTGGCTTGGGGGGATGGGCTCGGGGGGGGGTGGGTTCGTTCTCGAACTCCCCCGACCCCCCTGGCTATACGGGCCTGTACTATGTACTACTGATTTCACATGATCAAAATCAACTTGTCTCTCAGACTCCGTCTTCGTCCCTTGGACTTTTGAAGACTGTTCTTTTATGAGGTGACTAAATTGATGTTGAACCATGACTTGTAGACGGCAAATTGACAGTATGAAGGCACGATTACTCCTGAGAGAAATTGGATGAAGACATGAGAAGAGGAGAGCTCTTCGACAACTTGAACTGTCCAAGACAAGTAAGTTTAAATTGACTACGCCCGAACTTCATGTAAAATTCTGTAAAAAAAATTGCCATTTTTTATATTAAAAGTAAGACTGACGTACTAAATATACCTTCAAACTCTCATTCCTTATATAAAATGTTTTATCGTTGGTTAAAATTCCCCTAGGATAGAGAAACCGGGCCCAATACAATCTGAATTCTATTTTACATCAATATAAAATTAAGGTTAGGTATGGTTATGGTAGGGTTAGGCACATGGTTTATGGGACCCATGTACTCTCCTAGGCCTAATATATATCCTAGTAATATCTGATAAATAACTAAGTAATATCAATATATATTCAAATATATAGCTTGTTTAACCTTAGCTACTATGGCGGTTTCCCCAATAATAACGCTACAACAGCCACATGCATTTGGGTCAATTAAACAGAAGATACTAAAAACACAAATGACTGTCACTGTACGTAACATAGTTACAGTGGGCCCACTCTATGTGGGTAAAGTCCCTAGTCTAGAAGACATGTCCCACAATACTTCATGTTTATACGATACAATATACAAATTACAATGGGTCATGTCTTCTAGACTAGCTCCGGTAAAGCCTACTGTAGACCCCAGGCTCCACATTTACAAATGTGTAGGTTGCCAACCTAAACGACATTCAAGTTCACCCCTACAACGCACTCGCCGCACGTGCAATACCTTGCATACCATGCACAGATTCACAAAAGATAGACTCTTGGAGAACTAACGTGCTAATACACTCCTATTTTAATGTGATTCTGATTGTTGTATTCCTAATTTTATTGTAAAAAGCTAGTTTACGGCAACTCTTCCTTCTGTGGTACCATTCTCAATGACCGTTTTAACCATTATACATGTAAACATTCATTTTATTTAGCATTAGTATATGTATATTATTGATGTTGTTGTCACTAATAAGAGTAGGCATCCATTATTTAGGGGTGTTAGCTAACAGGGTTGAATGTATAATGTATTTTGAAGATTCATGCGGTTGCACGTCTGCCAAATCTTCTTTGGACTTTTACTGAAAAAAATACGGTAATTCCGCGAGGCCGTGCTCTGGAACGAACTAGTTAGTATATCACACGGACTCCTGCAAATATTAAATCGGGCAGTAGGTCCGGCAGTAAATCGGGGAGTATTTGACTCTGGACTCCTGTTAATTTCGCACCTTGTTAATGTGTAGTGTTTTATTTCTTAAAGGCTTCAGACTCTTTAGCACATCGATTCCTTGCCAGGAGAAATGTGAAGAAAGTGCAGAAAGCCAGTCATCGAGAAAACTGAAGGAGAAAATAAGGAAGCGGCACTTACCTCCATCTGAAGCTGTTGTTGATTCAGATTTGAGCAGTGATAGGTATTTATGCTTACCATATTTTATTATGTACCTTGGATATAGTCACACACAAAATATCAGTGCTTATGAAATGATTTCGTAAAATTATCATCGGATAGGAATTCTCTGTAGTAATGGCTTCTAACTGTATGTAAATATTGTTAAACCTATCTATTGCCATCCAGTAATGAATTAATACTATTTGTACATTATATTCTGATAGTTTATAATTAATAAATTGATTTCTAGAAAAATTTATATAAGTGTTGTTTTCTGGCTTATAATGCTGCGTTATATAAACTGATTACATTTAGTGAGTGTGAGGCACGACTGCGCCTGGCAGCCGTCACTGCAGCGGATGTTGCAATACAAGCCAAGCACATGTTGGTGACACACAGACCTGGTGTGGTGGAGATAGGGCGTGTGTCAAAAACACTAAGGGCCCGTATACGGCAAGAGCATGATCAACAGAAGAATAATCGCGAGGATGCTGAAGTTAAAACGAAAAAGAAGAAAAAGAAGAAGAAAAAGAAAAAGATTATGGCTACTGAGACAAGGTCTGGTGAAACCAGAATTAATCCTGATTCCTCTCCATCTACTTGTGATACAAAATGAGTTGCAATGACTTTGTATCCCATGTCACAGCATGGGAATGAACCCAGATGGTTATATATCACGAGTGAACTGCTAGAAGTGCAGTATTGATTGTTATAATTACATTGTATTGTTTGCTTCTTCCCCTGTCCACTGCCTAACTGCCTCGTGTATACACGTGTACGCTACACCTATCTATTGCCACGTGTGTCGCCATCTAGTGGCTGACTAGGCTATTCCAGACATGTATTACAACACTTAACAGGTATCATGTACATATCAATACATTACATGTTGAATAGCATTGTATATTGTATATATAATGTATATTATATTGTTATTGTAAGGTTATATATAACAGTAAATTTGATGCCAAGCATAAATAATAGTGAAACGTAGCAAAAGCACGAGTTTTATCAGTTATATTAAACAGAGATGATCATTTTCTTTGAATTTGTGCGACATTCAAATGCATTTGGTTTTCTTTGCTCACAGCTTTATTTGTAAGATCACTGTCGATTTGTACATTGGGAAAAAGTATATGAAAATATACTAAAACAGTACATAAATGTGTATGTAAATATGGACAGACCAATAAACTACTTTTACAATATAATGTGCCTAAAAAACTTGCTGGTATATGTAATGCTGTTGTAATATTGGTAATTTTATATGTCGTTGAGCAATAGTTTAATTGACAGCACATTTAAACTAATTCAAGAAATTTTCATTCATATATTCTAATAGTAGTACATTAGTGTAACTTCTTGCAATCTGTTTATGTATTACTGTTTATGTGCGAGTTTCATTGTAGCGCGATTCCTCTTGGTATCTTTCTCCACCATTGCGCATGTAAATGTGTGTTGTAATGGATGGCTTTGTCTCCTGAGAGAGAGAGAGAGAGAGAGAGAGAGAGAGAGAGAGAGAGAGAGAGAGAGAGAGAGAGAGAGCTTCAGCATATTTACGAAAAATTTGCACACGAAATGTCAGCGCAGATTTGTATCGTTTACAATGCGGGTTTTACTTATATATGTATAAATTAATGATAAAAAACATGCATTGCATTCCCAGTGAACCAAACCTGTGTCCAAAGTTTAGGAACGTCCATAGAACCACCGTTTATACATTGCTGGCACCTATAGAATGTCCACCTGCCCATAAAGTCTACTTTTTCTGCCCATCAAGTGGCCGTTATATAACGGTTTAACTACCTGGTGTTTAGTTCACCTGTTTCTGGCGTCGCTATTATCTATTTAATTAAGATGCATTGATATTATAACGCATGTTTGTAAATTATTTCGTCCAATAGATGGCGCGATAAGGTTATAGCTGACCCATAGAGATCTATAAATATATGTTTATGATATATTATAACTTCATAAATATTAGTCTTCAAAGTTCGAGGGACTATAGCAAAGATATATGTCACTTGGCACTACATATATGTTTCATTGTAATTAACAAGAGGGTTTTGGGCTGGTATTTCTTTTGCTAAACGACTAGTAAGCAATAAACTATATAAAGCATGTCCTGTAAGTATTTGCTGTATAAAAATAATATATAATTTTATAGAACCGGTCATGAAGTACAGGGCCGACTGCACGAATATTAGTAGTCAATATTTGCTTTTGCTCTTATAATTTCAATAAAATTACGTTTTTTTCTAAAATAATAGGAATGCGCGAAGGCAAATCACCCTATGCTACTAATCCTGGCGAGAGATGGCGCTATTAAGTAGTTTGTGACCACGTGGTCTCCCTCTTTCACAAAATGGCTCCGAAGAAGAAGGCACCGTCTTCAGGAACTGCAAGCAAAGGTTAATTTCAATATGCTTAAGATAGTTACTAATGATCTTTGTCCAAAAATCATCATGGTATTGTCACATGCTACAAGACTGCTTGTGTGGTCAAATTGCTAATGGATTGTGTTCCTTCACAGGTTCCATCTAGCCTAGGTCCGCGGTAGCGTCGGTAACACTAACAGTAACAGTGCCAGTGTCACTGTCAGTAACACTAGCAGCAGTCACAACATGGCTGAGCGCAACAACGTTGTTGCCGTTTTGTTTTTGTGTGCAGTAGCGGCTCTTTCAGCAGGTTAGGCGCTCACGTGTAGCAGTACTGTATGTGTGTTGCTACACGGGAGTTTCTCCGTTTTAATAACGTTTTATCTACTTGTAACAAATGTTCTAAATTTTTACATGTTTAAACGACATTTAGCAGCAGGTAAAAAGCCAGAGAGTGCAGCGGCGAAGCCTGCGGCAGATGCAGGATCAGCCACCCCAACTCCAACAGATACGCGCCCTGGCAAGAGGCGCATAGAGAAGAAGGGGGCTAAGAAAGATGGCAAGGATAAGTCTCAGGTAAAAACAGTTGGCATCCCGCATTGTTGAAGCATTGCTGTAGTGTAGTCTGAAAGGTGTAATCTTATGATGGCCGATGGACTGACAATGATAGTGTATATACAGGAACATGTATATAATAGTTAACTCAAAGGAACCCCAATATTCAGAGAAGATTCGCTTCAAAATCTTTGATAACTGAGTATCTGCTTTTAAAAATCTCTGTGGCTGTATGCCCGGCAGCCGGGCACGGTCTTCGATTTCCTAAATGCCCGGCAGTTCCTAACCCTAACCCTTGTTTACTTGAGATAATGCTGAAAATAAAAAACTGCCGGCGATTTAGGAAATCGAAGACCGCGCCCGGCAGCCGTCAGATATATGCCGGCTGCCGGGCATATAGCCACTCTGTTTAAAAATCTTGCTAATATAATTTCTATTTTTTCATTATCACTTGCCATATTGTCAGATTTATTCACCCTACCCATCGCCCCTACTCCTGAAATAGTGTGTATATTTTCTGCAATTATGCCAAGATGAATAGGCCAAGTCATTTGGCAAATGATGTGCCCTTTCCAAAGCTTTTTTACACATCTGCACCATGATTTTATACATCAGGGGTCGAAATAAGCAGATGGTCCGGGGCCATCAAATAATCAGGAGGACCATCAGATTTTCAAAGTCAATGGTCCGGACGGACCATTGAATATTTTGGTCCCATTTTACGGTAAATTTCTTGCACGCCGCATTTCTTTTAGAGAACAATTTGAAATTTAGGAGGATCATCTAAATTTCAAACTAGATGGTCCTGTGGACCATCTCTTTTTTTCTCCTTATTTCTACCGCTGTACATGGCCCCACCCAATTAACAGCGAACTCGTTCCCTTGGCCTCATCCATGCGAATGGTATCAGTGCCCACCCCGGCCCAACCCTGTAAACAAAGAGTGTATGAATAATGCGCATTCTAAATCGATACAACAGGTTGAGAAGGCAACAAGAGCAAGGAAGTCTGTGCTGAGAGGTACTAGAAGCGAGAGATCCAGAAAGATCCGCACGTCGGTCAAATTCCACAGACCCAGGACGTTGAGGCTACTTAGGGCCCCAAAGTACCCGAGAAAGAGTGCACCAGGTCGCAACAGGTATATTGTAACTTATTACACTGTTTATGTGCTGGTCTGGGATACATACTCAGCACAGTACACTCTAAGCACGCGCTAGCTTGTCGCAGCATGAAATACAACAAATAATTGGTGGCATGGCATATTGTATCAGAGGTTTGCTATTTCTCTGTGGAAGGCCTCCAAGTTACCCATCTTGGAATTCAGACCTGCATTTAATTTTCCCCTTAATACATGATGGAAGATACTCGTATGCACACTGCCCTAGCTTGCATACTTGCCTAGTTTAGGCTGCCTGCTGCTTTTCCCAAAATTGTTGTATTTGCTTTGGATGGTTTTTAAATTTTCAGGTAAAATGGTTAAATTGTAGTTTATGCAGGGATGAGAATCTTCCGCGGAAATCCGCGGATTTCACAGTCCCAGGGTCGATTTTGTGAAACGTCTAAATCCGTTGAGAGAAAATTTTAGGGGTGGTTAGAATGTACTAATTTTCATTTTACAGTCCAACAGTACCTTCGTTTAATAACATTGTAATATAGTTCGCTTTACAATATAGACACGGCTTAGTTCACTGTTTGAGATTGTCAGACGTTGGCCAGTGTGTGTGTTTATTTGACGCTGCAAGTGTGTGTGTGTATGTGTGCCGGGCGTGCTACGCAGGCCGGATATAGTACGTGATCGATGTGATCGATATAGTACAGTAGCTGATCACTGTGGGGCTCACAGACTTGCCTTGGCAGCAGGCCAAGCTGCCAGTTGTTCAATATGATAAAATATCTACTGTAGTGACCAGAAACAAATTTGAAACTGCCTGGACAATGAACATCTTATATTATATAAAGGTTAGCCTTTGGGACAGTGTGGAAGTGTACATTAAAATAATTTTGTTTGCAGAATGTAAGTAAATTTTTGTATTGATTATTAATTCTAGTGTTATGATAATGACAGTGCAAGATATACTCACAAGTAATACCCTAAAGTAATCGATATTCACCAAATCGGGCAACTGTTGTGAAACCTAAACTGTTGAGTTCTCGTTTTTAGGAAAATAATTGTTCATGGAGTTCCTATTCAATATTGTGTGAATTCACTATCTGTTTTCCTCATTTGCAGACTTGATCAGTACTCAATCATCAAGTACCCTCTGACAACGGAGTCGGCTATGAAAAAGATTGAGGATAACAACACGCTCGTGTTCTTGGTGCATCTGCGATCCAACAAGCCCGAGATAAAGTATGCAGTCAAGAAGCTATACGACATCGATGTAGCCAAGGTGAACACGCTGATCAGACCCGACGGCCAGAAGAAGGCGTACGTTCGCCTTGCTCCAGATTACGACGCACTAGACGTCGCCAACAAGATTGGCATCATCTAAGCCAGTTTTGGCATTTGTGTATAGCGGGATGATTGGAGTTGCTAAATAAACAACATCAGGAAATGTCACGGCTACGTCTATGTTAGTGTTAACGTCAAAATCGTTATAAAATATACAACTAACAACAACAGCTACAAACAACTTCACGGCCGCCTGATGTATATGAAAAAAAATTAACATTTTTAATATAAAAAAATGCAATAATATTTACAACTGCAATTTGTACACTGATCCATATTTGCACACATCACATAACTGCATTGAAACATTAAATGAAGTCACATCAATCATATTTCAAGGAGCAAATATTACTATATGTATCTACAGACCAGGTGAATATAATGTCGCCTTGTAAAGTGTCAGCATAACGTCATTGCACAGGAAGAAATTGGTTGTGGAGGAGGTGTTTCAACGTTATCAAAATTAGTCGCTTGCTGGTCTATTGAATGGCATAGAGGGGTAAAAATTTTGTTAACTTATTATAACAGGAGTTTTGTGGCATGCAAATAGGTGAATGTAATACTGGTTTTTCAATTCACAGAATTTTTTCACAGGCATTACAGTCAATGAAATTTACATTATCAACCCTTGAACAGTGCACCGTATTCATGCTGATACACCAAATCACCATTTCAAGATATAAATATACACAGTTGACCCAGAGATAGACATTGAGATTGCACGTAATATCACCATCTGAATCCTAACATTCCTCTGTGGCTTCTTGAGTGACGATGGACTCGACTATCTGTCCCGCATCATTAACAATGACCTGCGATGCGTCACCGATCCCAGCCTCCCCCGCTTCCTGACCGACTTCCGCAGAGTTGTCATATCCGGTCACGTACACCTGTTCCTCAGATTGGTCGCTGATTAGCAGCTGTTCGCTTGTCGTCTGGTCAGAGATGACCAGCTCTCCCTCGTGCAGGTAGACTTTCCCGCTCATCTCGTCCCCTCCGTCCAAGATGACGTGCCCGTCCTGTAGCTCGACGAACTCTCCGTCCTCTCCTTGTATAACGTACTGCGGGGGAACGAGCAAACACGTGCCGCGCATTAGACGCAAAATCTAGACGTGGATGGAGACTACGATGCATGTACGTATTGGGAGCGTTTGCGCAGATTGATAGATACCTTGCCATCCTCCGTCTGCAATATTATTGGGCCATCAATGTTCTCCACTTGATCACCCGAGCCGCCATCCTCTGACGTGTGCACTTCAATTACTTGTTTCGCACCATCAGCCCCACCTGTCTGAATCTATCACGTGTGTAAGTGTAAAAACTTCATCAGGCAATAGTGCACGCACCAGAAGGAAAAGTCTTGAGCACCAGCTTTCATACGTGTAGTTTGATTACTTATAAATTGACACCCTAGATGTATAATTGTACTGTATAACATTTCATAATTTCAAAACTCAGCGAATAGCTCAAATCTCAATAGTTTTCTAAACAAGGTGATGGTAACTTTAAAGTATTTGGCAAGCTTCCTAATTTGTTTAATTTCTGCTTCCAAAATAATTGTAGCAGCATATACAATCACACGATTTTACAAGCAAGTGTAGCTTCTCACACCTGAAAAGAATCACTTCACGACAGTGTTGCTTACATTGCGTAATATCACATATTAATTCTATAGAACAAACAACTCGCTATACATAGTTTCACGTACCTCGGACATGGCGAGAAGTTGCAAAATGGCTTGAGCATTCTCCTCCGGTAGAACTGTAATCTCGGTGACATTTGTCAACTCCTCTTCCCCTACCTCCCCCTCCGTAACTCCATCTCCTGAAACCACTGTCACCATTTCACCTCCATCTGGCATCTCCACTACGCCGCCACCCTGCAAACAAACCAACACAGCTGCATGTACGTGTAGAATGAAATAACGACAAAACAACGACAGGTGAGAGAGGTCCACTTCCAAAATCAAGACACGAAATGGCAACGTGAAATAAACACTGCAGCATTCACTAGCATGTGGTGGCGTTTGAAATTTTACGGAGCCTCATCCGACTGAGATTTTTGCTGGGGACAACAGAAGACCTTTACACTATTATGCAATTTAATGTAAACTCATACAACATAATAACCAATAACATTCGATTAAACACGTTTGGCCACTTTGGGATATGACTTCTCTATATAGTGAGAAAGGGGAAAAACAGAAGATGCTACCTCATCAGTCAGCGTCTCTGTGATCTGAACACTGTCCCCGTCTGGGTGCTTCTGTGCAACGTGTCGACGCATATAGTCCTTATTCACTGTCGTGTAGCAGCAGTAGGGACATCGATGCACCAGCTCACTCTCGGGATGTTTTCGCATCAGGTGGACCCTAGGAGACAATGCAGTTGCTATCGATGAAAACGATACAAAACTAGTCACTTTATCACATGCTGTGCACACCTATATAAATTATTCTGTGACAAACCTTAAAATGATTCAATAAAAAAAGACAATTCATGCAATGTATGCCAGTTTTAAAAGTGATAAATGCCTCATTCAAAATTGAGTAACTCTTCCATAACAGTCAATCACAGACAGACAGGATAAAAAGACAATTGTAATCAAAATATCATGTGTAAACTGTTAGTTTTAGCTGGTGCATTGCTTCTCACGTTATGCCACAACATGGCGATCACATCTATGTAACGAACCTGAAGGGTGTTGCCTCGGTCGTGTCCCAGGGGCAGTAGGGGCAGAGGTAAGGCCGGAAACCCGCATGCCGACGTTTGTGACAGCGCAGTGAGCTGCGATGACTCGTCGTGAAGTCACACTGGTCGCATCGGAATGGTTTTATTCCTGAATAGTGAATATGCGCGTACGGAGCACACCAAAGCAAGCTTATAATATAAAACTATATATTACTATATATAATGAGTGTCAATGACACTGTAGCTCACCTTGGGTGTGATAGAAGAGGGAGGGGGGATATATAAAGTAAGAGTATATATGGGAGAACTCCCATTGTATAGCATATCTCCCATTATATACTCTTGATAATGATATATGCATAAGTTTTGATGTGAAAATAAGTTCTGATATATATATATCTGAAAGTCTGAAATCTTGACGAGAGATGGTGCTACTCCTAAATGATTGCCATTTTGGTTTACGAATATCGCGCAAATAAAAACAATAAAATATTCCAGTCAAATTACTGTAACGAAGAATCTAAAACACAATATTACACGTATATAGGTATGATTGTAGAGTTGTTGACTAGTTAGACGAAATAAACATAATAGGACGTTGTCATCTCTCCCATAGGAGTAACAACTGTTTTGGAGCTAGCCTTACATATTCACATACAAAAATTTAACAAAATCGAATGAATTTAGATGGCCATTTTCATTTTTGCCAAAAAGTGGGCGTGGCTCGAAAGTAGGTCGACTGGCGTGCTCCAAAATAGGAAGTTCAAATCTCTCCCATAGGAGTAACAACTGTTTTCAATTTGAAACATGTGGGTCAAACGGTTCTTGGCGATGTTAAGGCGAGCAAAAAATAAAACTATTGTTAGTTTAAAGTTTCCTCGATATAAGTTATATCAAGGAAACGTTCAACTAACAATGCAGCGGAGTAGATTCACAAACACAGGAACCGGTATAATGCTATATGTGTAGCCATCTGTTGAGACAGAGTTCAGTTTGTTTACACCAACGTTGAACAAACAGTAGATGAAATGTTGAAACATGTTGGACAGAGAACTTCGTGTTGCAGTTCACTATGACTATAGTTTCCACGATGTCCGTCCTACCTTTATGGATAGTCGTGTGCACCTGCATGGTTTCCTTCCGGCGAGTTTTGAATCCACAGATCTCACATACAAGCTCTACTCCCAGGTGTACACACGTAATGTGTTCCTTCAGGTGAGTGTCACACTTAAACCCAATCCTGTGAGAGAAGATAACAAGTTGACGAAATCAATCATCGGATACATTGTCAGGAATTCGAAAACTCACGATAACTATGTTAGTTTAGTACTACATACTATTAGAGTGCCAGCACCTGTTAACATTTATCTGCTTCAAAAGCTCCCACTGCTGGTGTGCAGGCGCCACGCTGGCTGGGAAATATACAGACTATGTACGTAATAAACACGGACTCGCCGAGATTAGACAGTTCTTAATTGGCAGTCCGTATGTAGTCTGTGGTTAGCACACAGGAGTTTGTATATAATTTGCTACGGACTGTAATTAGCTCAGGAATATTCCATAGCTCTCCGTGCGTTTTGCATCATTTCCGTGAATAGTCCATGTTGTATCCGTATATTTCAGTTCATAGTGTGTGCATGTACCTGCAGGGGCGTGTACAGGATTTGGACCAAGGGGGGGGGGTCTAACCCTAACCCAAACTTGCGAGGACGCGAAGGGGGGGTCTGGGAGGCCCACCCCCAGAAAATTTTTGAAATTAGACCCCCTCAGATGCATTTTGTGTGCGAGCCCCCCCTTACACGCCCCTGACCTGCACACGGGTGGTTACATACCTTCACACAGGTGTGTACGTACCTGCATACGGGACACTGCAGCTCACCGGCCGGGCCCTTCAGGTAGTGCGGCCCGTGATAACGCTCGTGGTTCTTCATGAGCTTGTAGCTCTTGAACATGCGATTGCATATCGTGCACTTGTAGATGAACTTGTTACTGTGCGTGCGCATGTGGTCCTCGTACTCAAAGTTGCGCTCCGACTTGAACCCGCACACGTTGCACGTCAGGATGCCCGCCTCGATGTCGTGCGTCTTCCACAGATGCCGTCGCATCACCACCCACTGGTTGGTGGCAAAGTCGCACTCGCAGCACTTGAACTCGTTGCTGTACGGCGTGTGACACTGCAACGTACGATGGGAAATGGATGGATATGGGAATAGAACATGAGGTGAAGCCTGAGCAGCAAGCAAGACGGTAAACCGAGCAGGGAAAGGGGACGATATCGTAAAGAGAGAGAGAGAGCAGCATAACAGAACATCATGGATGAATAGCACTGTAGACGGAAACAGCTATGGTGCGATAGAGAAGGAATGTCATAACCATCAGCACAAGAACCAATCAAGATTTAAATACCAGATGAAATTAATACAATTAAAAAGAGTAAAATTAACAGAAAAATAGTTCCCCACTCACCTTCTCATGTATTTCCTTCTCAAACTCAGTGAAAAAGTATTTATTGACGTGATTGAAGACACAAAAGCGCCGCGAGCATCGATAGATGCGACTCCCATCATCCAGGTGATGAAATAGAGGGCGCCGCCGCTTCTTAGCTACGTCCACAAATTCCACATCAACGGCATCTGTCGACGAATCCTGAAAATTTTTCATACTTCTGCCAAATCTAATACTGTATACGCCATATTTTTCGCGTACAGGTATTTTCACGAATTCAGACCTGACGGACAATTTCGCGAGTGATTAATTTCGGTGACTTCCCAAATCAGTTAAGAACGGCGTGTTGTTGTTTTCGCAGTCCAATACGCATTCCCGAAATTCGCGAAAATTAGACTACTGTGAAATATACAGCATTTACAGTAGCAGATACTACAAAAACATGCGATGCTGGCCATTCATGCGATATGATGTACGAGTATAGAATCAATGTGTTATATACCTTCTCAAGCTGTTCTAATGCCTCCAAGCTGGGATTGTCTGGGTCTATGTTCTCAGAATCCATCTCATCTGCTTCTGGATCCAGCTCACCAGGTAATGTGTCTGTCAAGAAAGAGCAAACTTTTAGAAACGCGAATCTCAGTCGAATCGCAACTCACCAAAGTTGGACACCCATCTCTGCCTCTATCTCTTGTTACTCGAACACATTTTCATGAAAGAATAAGAATAATGAATTAGGAATTTCACGTGTGAGTACGACTGACGCACCAGTTTTGGCTGCAATTCCGTCGGTCTCCGATTCATCCAACTTTCTGCCTTGCTCTTGCTCTTCGCTGCTGCCTCCTTGCAGTACTACAATCGTATCCCCAATTCTGTGGGAGAAGAATTTTGTACATCATTATCATGTAGAGGTATAATGTATTACCATTGTATTCACAATAGCCTGCAATCCACTCCATATAGTACAGCATGCATTTACCCGGGTAAAAATATACACTCGTGCGTGCGTTATTATGAAGCACACTTTTATACACTGGTGACATTTTTTGTGACACTGTGACATTCTCACTAGTTATGCTTTCACCTTCCAAGAGCACAGAGAGAAAGAGACATTGCCATTGGAAGCATTTTTCTTAAATGGTCGGAATCACCATTCGGACGTTGTCAGGCACAACTGACCTTCTCAGTTCTCACTCAGGTCACCTGACTTGACCAGAACCAATAAGACTTTTTGGCAAGCACACTAGACCGCTCGAATACCACTCAGAGGGTAAGAAGCATGATATTATGCTTGTTAGAGGCTGGAGTGTGACGTCGTCTATAACTAATGCGCGCGACGGCTACGGTGCTGCCCCCCTCCGCACGCACCTGAACGTCTGCTCGCCGCCAGAGAGCGCCGCGAGAGCGACGGCCGCCTCGTCTCCCTCCAGCTGCTCCATTGTTTTACGCTGCAGCACCTCGTTGACGTCGGTTACGTCGATGCGTACGATCGGGCTCGGGTCTTCATCCATGTCCAGCCTGAAGCACAACACACAGCCCCGCTCACAGCCCAATAACGCACCCGGCAGTTAGATGCGATATGATATGACTACTAGGCACTTAGGATATGACTACTAGGCACTTTACAAAAAAAAAAACCCTAACCCTAACCCTAACCCTAGAAAAAAAAAAATTAAATTAAATTTAAGTGCCTAGTAGTCATATCATATCGCATCTTTCTGCTGTTTGCCCAATAACACCGTAACCATAGTAACTACTGTGAAGGCGCAGGTCAGGGTGTCAATAATTCCTAGTGTTTGTTTTAACAATCGTTGTTGGTAATTGCTGTCGTTGCATAAACGATTTCCGCTCAGGTCTCGTGGGATGACAGCACCAAGACTGGTCGGTTTTGCCAACATGGTAACACACAATAGCGGCGTCATGAAGTGTTTATATAGATAATATTATATCTCAATGCTTAAGATTCATGCAAGGTTGTTCTCATTCTAGATTTAGATGCCTATCCAAGCTTAAATTCGAAAGAAAACATGGTTTATTTTATTCTAAATATGTGACAGGTATTCATACATACACGGTACTGCTTCACACATCCCTACTTTAAGACAAAATACTTTGTCACTACAACAAAGCATTCACATGTACCTTGATTTACGTGGACGTCCTCTTTTCTTTTTAATTAGCACTGACGAAGGATTTAGAGTTTCCTGGGTATCAGCTCCATCTGCTGGGAAAAAACCACTTACTTAAAAAATTGTACTCCAATTCTATGATAAAGTATCCGCAATTAAAGTGTCTAAGTTTCCCAAATCAAAGCCATCTTTTTTTTTAAACCTATTCTAGGTCGATGAAGGCTCACAGATCAATTCACATCACAGTTTCTGTTGAGGATAATGCAGGACGCCGTCTCACTACAGGTAAAATTTACCTGTGCAACTCGAGTACATCAATGTGCTGGGTGAATTGAACCAACCAAGATAAAGTGCCAAATATAAGATGGATCACTCAGGCTCTACTCAAAATCCACACTCACAAACTTAGTTCTACGTAAACTTCACACTTACAATATATAGAGTTACAAGCCAAAGACACCAAACAACTCGTACCCTGTACGCAGTACGACACCTCTAGATGCTTCGGAGGCCGACCACGCTTCTGCTTAATTGGTTTTCCGTCAGGTCCAAACACACGCTTCGGTTTCACAGGGTAAGGCGCAGCTGGATTCTTTCTTGGTCGCCCTCTTTTCTTCATCGGTGTTCCACTTTGAGTCAACTGAGATGACCAATGTACCTACAAAGACAAGAAAGAATGAGTATGGATATGGTATTGGAGTAGGATATGGAAATGAATATGGAATGAGTAGGATGCTATTTGTATGTTTAAAGTATGGCTGCTTAGTAATGTAAATGTTAAGAAGCTTTAAATAAATTTCAGCACGGCTGTAAAAGGAACATAATCTCACCGGAATCCCCCCCCCCCAACATGATTGCATCCTAGCAAGAAATAAAGGCAATAAATCTGTGAGATTTCCGACGTGTGTCAGGTACACACGTCGGAAATCTCACAGATTTAGATCTCACAGATAGCATCTCTTTTAATCGCAGACCGGATTACCACACGGCAAATTCCCATCCGAAAACAAACAGAAACAAGACAACTGTCAAATGCAGGTGATGACGTCAGCAAGCAACTAAGGACTGCGCACCTTTGCAGTGCCATCCCAATCTTCCTCTTCCTCAGCATCCATGTTCTCAAGCTTCACGTATGCACTGTAACCGACGTAGTCCTGCGCCAGCATGCGCGGACGCTTGCGAATGCGGCCGCTGCGCGACACGTAGGGAGCCGGTTCTGGCTCCTTCTCGCTCTCCTCTTCCTCGTCGTCAGAGTACATGCGCTTGCCGATGCTGGGGACGGGTGGGCGGGATGGCTGCACTGTGCGCTCCCTACAGCCATAAACCGATCACAACATGCGTACAGGCTACAAAGCAACAGCATTGCCACTGGGGCATAGACAAAATGTCACCCCGCAGGTAGTTACTCAAGCATAACATGGCGTCAAGGCGGTACTTTTGGGCAAAGCTACGTACTTACCCTATTGGGTATTTCCTTGGTCGCCCCCTGCCTCGTTTAACTGGCATGATTACTGGTTGTACTGGTACCTCCAACTCGTCTTCATCAGTATCCGAACCATCTCTATAAGATAATAATGCAGAATTCGATGACAACAAGATTCACGATGATTTAACCTAGTTGAAATTCTCTGTCATCTTTAACTTAAATATAGTTTATTTTATTATTGAGTTAGAAAGTCTACTAGGTTTATGAATTACCTGTATCCAATTGATGTGCAACCACTGCATATAATGTAATGTCAAGAACGTCGCAAAACTTATTAACAAGTTGCACATTCTCTAAAAGGTTATCTTACTATAATAATTTAATAACCATATATTTAGCCAATCAAAATAAAGGAGTTACTTCTCAAGTTTGTAATGGTCAGTCTGTATATGCACTGAGATCTCCTCATGGGAATGAAAAGTTGTGTGGCAGTAGTTACACATCAGCAGCCTTTTCACAGATGCATTTGCTTCAGATGGTAACCCCTGAAATAATATAACAACAAAACACGCTTATTGTTATTTGTTGACTAAACACATACACACACAAGTGCACATGCAGGCATGCTCTTTGGTTACATGCCGTCCACAAACTGCCAGGCATCATCACTGGGAATAGATGACTACTGGGACAGTACCCAAGAAATGGGATTTTTACACCGAATCACATATAGGTGGTAAGACTGAAATAATGCATTCACCTGCAGCTTCACTTCCTGACAGTGTGCGTCAGTGACGTTATGCGCATCACTCAGATGCTTGTTGATGTCCTCGTGAGTGCGGAAGGTCTGGAAACACTGGTTACAGATGAGCCGATTCATCGACGAGTTGCCTTCCAACAGCTGCGCACGGACGCAAAGCAGAGATTCACGGTAACGAAAAAACAGAGAGGCGAGCGATAACTCTACGTTTCACGAGCAGGACGCAGCTACTCGCACGCTGCCTGACCGGCATTGACCATGAAGACCACAGAACAAACACAAAACACAGCATGAGATGAAGCTAACCACATAGATGTACCAACCTCCTTTAATTGGGTTTCTGTCAGTGGTAGGGCAGACTCTTCAAGATCTGGCATGCTAATTGCCATGTCTTTAGTCTGCATGGGATCACCACTTGTATCTATGATAATTGGCACGCCTACACCCTATGATTAACAATACAAAAATAAGGCAAAGCTTCATAATATTATTCCTGATCACATCCATAAAGGATCTGTTTACAGTTTCCATTGAATTTATACTTCAATACTGATTCACACCTACTTCCTAAAATGTGTATATGAATAATCGATTAATTATTACTAGGATGTATTTCAGACATACATCTTACCTTTTCTGCTATCTCATCAACAATATCTGCAGCTACGCTCTCAACATTATGTTCCTTCATTGTCTGCTTAGTCTCTTCACTGTGTTCTTGTGTGACAGGTAGAGAAACTGTTTCTTCTTGTACACTATGTATTGTACCCAAGTGCTGCACCAGAAGCTGCTGGTCTTCGAATATGTCACCGCAGAAATCACACTGGTAGACTTCAGTATCTTCTTGAACCTTGTATTAGTAAAACAATGGAAAACCTTTATTCTAAGTATAGACTTTAAGGATGGAACCTGTTTACAACAATTTATAGAAAAGATGCATAATACAAAATATTGTAGAGTGCTAGACATATGATATATGCACAATTATACAGTTTTTTTTATCTAGATAAAATGGCATGTACCTTGTGTGAAGAACGAACATGTTCAACGAATCCATTTTTATCAAAGGTGCGGTATTCACAGACTCTGCACTTGTAGACTATCTCGGTTTCAAGAAACTCACTAATGTCGTCTTTGTCCATGATGAACGATACTAAAATTAAATCAATCACTTTGATAAGATGAACTTTATAGATGGGTATATTCTGCATTGCACATTTGAATAATTGAATACTTCGACATAAAATGCGAAGAAAAATCTATATTCTGTATTTAATGAACAAAAGCAAAATTCAGAAGGCAATCAATCCTGTGCCTCCCAATGTTTTACTGTATGAAGCACACACACTAACAGTTTGGTTCTTGCAAACAATACTAAACTAGGTTACTCTGGCCCAATAACATAGTACTAGTAAAACTAATAGACACTTCATTCTCAACATATTAATTATTATTATTAGTAATCATATAGTAATAGTACTATTAGTATTAGTAGTAATACTAATAGTACTGACTACTACTGTATTAGTGACAGTACTCAGGACAGTAGTGTACAGTGTGTAGACTGTAGACTGTAGTCTGTACTATTTAACAATGAGTAAAATAATCAGTCCATTGCTAAATTGTAAATATCTGAAATAATCTCCTTAATGATACGGTAGGCATAAATGTACATTTGCGAAATGCATGAAATGAAGTAAGCCGCGGGACAGCAAATTGAGTAAAATGATCAATGACACTGATACAGTGCCAGTGGCACTGCATAGGTCACGACTCGGCGTGACGATTCACATCTAAATTGACACGGCATACGGTACCAGATGTATTAACGCATTTAGTTGTCAACAAACCTATCTCAAATTAATAACAGATCTCATGCAATCTTGTTATAAACATCGGTGGCGTTGTAGCTACTGTTTACAAATATAACATAGATTAGGCAACCATGTAACAAGAATTAATGGCGGACTGTTATGCCTCTCCACAACGAATGTCGATACCAGCGCCATAGCAATGTGGTGGCCGCGCCCTGGTAAAACCAAATTATTTGGGCAAACTATTGGGCTCTTCTATGTAGCAGTTCAGCTAATAATAAATATGATAGTGGCACGTATATCGATTAAACCATGGAAAATTAGGACAGACATTGATTCCATCACCAATATTTACTTTTATCACAAATTTTTTCACCGCCGATTACCTAGTGGCGCCAGGGTCGACAAGTCGCCAGAGCCATTCCTCACAGAATCTGTTTCGTACTGCAGCTTAAATGATCATGATGACCTAAAAGCTTAGGTAGGGTGTTTTTGTTATTCTTATATGCTTCTAGAGCTTTTTTGTATAGTTGAGAACATTGTGTTTTCACACTGAAGTGTTACTCATTCACTGATATGTGTTAGTAATAGTTTTTTTTCCAATATGCTAATGAGTAATGATGTGATTCACTCACTGTGACTGTGATTCTATGTTCTCTTATTCTTAATCGTCGGTGTCCAATGGGATTAAGTTATAACTTATGTATTATCCCTGCCACAAATACTGTACCAGGCTGTGAGACTAACAGACTCTTTACACATATATGACTATTTATTGCCATTGGAGGTAACTATGGCTATGGTTGTTTTCTTTCTTTAATTTAAAGGCCGTGGCTACGCGACCGGTTCCGGACGAGGAGCCACTAGGCTACGCATCCTGACATCCATCTCACACAGTGAGCTTGCGACACGTACACGCATGATTGCGCAATGGGACGATCTGCTGATTGCTGTGTGTGTGTGTGCGAGAGAGAGAGCGAGAGAGAGCGAGAGAGAGCGAGAGAGAGCGAGAGAGAGAGAGAGAGAGGGAATGTGTATGTGTGTGTGTATGCGTGAGTGAGAGAGAGAGAGCGAGAGAGAGAGCTGCGCGTGTGTGTGAGAGAGAGCTGCGCGTGTGTGTGTGTGTGAGAGAGAGAGAGAGAAAGCGAGAGAGGACGGATGAAAGGATAGACGGCAGCAGAGCGTCTCGTTGCGCAATCATGCGTGTACGCGAGCCGCGCGATCACTGTGTGAGTGGATGTCCGGACGCGTAGCCTGGAGGCTAGGCGACCGGTTCCGGACGCATAGCCACTGCGTA